AAACCAGGCGTAAAGGATTGCGTTGTTGTGCACAAACTTTGCTAAAAACGTTTTACCGATTTGTCTCTTGAAAACTTGGGAAATCAAGTAGCCCGTATTTGCATATGCTGGAAGTGAGATTTCAAAAAGTACTCCAGATTGAAGTTCAGTAATCAAAATGAACCAATCATAGCCAAAATTGGGATTTACAAGTTTTTTAGTAATCATTTTTTCATAGCTATGGTTGTTCGCAAAACAAAAAACCAAAAAGCATTTTTGAGACAACTTTTTGAAATTTTAGTTCGGTTCAGCAAACTGTTTGAAGTGATGCGTTCATGTCAGAATCATGAGTTTTTTTACTTCGATAATCGTACAAATAAATTTACGTACGACATTACTGATCATCCATAGATGAATATCGTCCTTCTGTCTGACAATGTATGGTAATGTCTGATGAATATCGCAACGATAGGTGCACAGCTTGCTTGTAGTCAACGAAACTATAATTAAGTTTATTGATGACTAGTTGGCAAACCCGGCTCCGCCCGGCCCTGTCAATAACATATTTGTAATCAGCATGCTCGATTACCCCCCTGTGCCAACTCCTCGCCCCGTAGCTCAAATTTTGCAGAAAATCGATAGAATCGATATCGATCGATGACGAAAAGTAGCCTATGACAACCGCCGGGGCCCGAAGTGTATGTGTGCCAAGTTTGGTCCGGATCGGTTGAGAAATGGAATTTTCTATTCGGAACATACGTACAGACACACACTCCGATAATCGCCGGGGGCAGGCGGCCATGCGATCTATGGGCGGGCGGGCACCGGAAAAATAGTTCGCAGATTTATTGCGATCCGCTTGCAGATGTCTGGAAGGATTTTAGCAAAATTTTGGACGAATGCTTGGAGAACAATCGCGGTTTACTCATAGATTAGCTGCGGCCCGGTCTCCGCCGCATTCTCGCGGACTTTCCGCGAGGATATGCAAAATTTTCGAGGGCCGCACGGTCCTTTATGGAGGGCCGCGCAGCCCCCAGGTACTTTTCGCTGAGAGAGAGTACCTCAAACTTGAGTAATTAAACCATCGACGACACCTCTGCCATGTAGAGTCTCACCTTTGCTCGGCATACGCCCAAAAATACTTAAAAACCGTCCAGGCGCCAGCTGAAATTTTGACCAGCGCTCGCTGAAAGAGATTATTTGACGAGCGCTGCAGAAAATTCTGCGTTGCTGCCCGCTGGCAGAATATTAGACAGTAAAGGAAGTGCCGCCCGCTGAAGGTTTGGCCACGTCCTAAAATTCTGCTGACCGCTTGCAGAAAAGCGCGAGTTTGCGGACCGCCTGCCCCCGGCGATTATCTGAGCAGTTGCTCCTTTTGGGGTGAATCCCTCGCTCCGCCCCTCTGCTCAGATAATCGCCGGGGGCAGGCGGTCATGCGATTTATGGGCGGGCGGACACCGGAAAAATGTTCGCTGATTTCTTGCGGTCTGCTTGCAGATATTTGGAAGAATTTTAGCGAAATTTTAGATGAATGCTTGGAGAACATTGCGGCTTCCTTATAGATTAGCTGCGGCGCAACCGCATTCTCGCGGACTTTCCGTAAGAATATGCAGAATTTTAAGGGCCGCACGGTCCTTTGTGGAGGACCGCGCAGCAGTAACTTCCGCGGGAAAAAGTACCTCAAACTTGGATAATAAGAACCACCGATGACAGCTCTGCCACACAGAGCCTCACCTTTGCTCGGCGTACGCTCGAAACCGCGTGAAAGGTGTTTGAGCGCCTGCTGAAAGTTTGACCATTGCTTGCTGAAAGAGATTAATTGACAAGTGCTTGCAGAAAATGTATTGCTGCCCGCTGGCAGAACACGGAAGTACCGCTCGCTGGAGGTTTGGCCACGCCCCAAAATTCTGCTAACCGCTTGCAGAAAAGCGCGAATTTGCGAACCGCCTGCCCCCGGCGATTATCTGAGCAGACACACACTCAGACAATCGCTGGGGGCTGGCGGGCACCGGAAAAATAGATTGCTGATGCAAAGCAATCAGGACTTTTCGGAAGACCGCTTGCTGAGTCAGCGGATTTTTGAGAGACCGCCTGTTGAATTTTTTTTCGCTCTTATCTTTTGCAGATATATTGCTGAATCTCTGAGGAATCGAGAACTCAGCAAGCGGTCTTCCGAAAAGTCCTGATTACTTTCCAAAAAATCCGCGAGCGGGGTGCGAGAGATCAGCAATCTATTTTTCCGGTGCCCGCCTGCCCCCGGCGATTGTCTGAGCAGACACGCAAACAGACATTCAGCTATATATATAAGATAGATCTATGGATAATCATGAGGCATCTTCGAAACAGTACCAGTCAAAGTGATTAAGTACAGGTAAGTTAGAACCACCACAGATTGACCACATACCACCGTTTTCAACTACAGATCTAATTTTAAAACAGGCTTTCTAGTTCGAACCACTGGATTCTAATTTTCAAATTTCTTTGTAACTCTTGTGTCCTGATTTTTTACGCAAAATAGACATCGTTACTGAAAAGGAGGACCTAGAAAACGTATAAATCCCAATTTTGGCCGTGATTGGTTCATTATGATATCACTAACTTCAACTTGAAGTACTTTTTTGGAAATCTCACTTTCAGCATATCCAAATGCCGGCTATTTGATTTCCGTGGTTGCCGAGAGACAAAATCAGTAAAGCACTTTTAGCGAAGTTTGTGTAGTTTTAACAACTACGCAATCCCTTTACATCTGGTTATGACCAGGGTCAAGCACAGAATTATAGATCTCAAAAGACACCGGGGCTACCGCTCGGAAATTAGGCGTCAAAAGATATTCAAGGTCCGTAGCTGCACCGAAATTCAAATTTGACTTCATTTGACGCCTAATTTCCGGCGTTGCGTCCCTACCTCTGCTGCCACTAGAAAAGCATTGTATATCTACAGGCTGTTTATCTGCCATGCGACCTGACGATTGTTGGGCGACCTGACGGCTGTTGGGAAAACTTCTACACTGTTCTTTCCTTGTTGTTTTGTGAGCTCATTGTTGTGGAAATTCCCATTCTTGTTACATGGGAATATCAGTGGTAAGATTCCTCTTGCCTCTAAACTGCAAATGCTGTGAAGAGCCTCTGGCTTACATAAGTAGATCCTCACAGGTATTACATCTCAATTTGTTACTAAAAACTCAAAACTGCCTTGCACACATCGTCAAAAAAGCTTCTTCGTGTGGTTAACAATTTTGTACTTGTGATTCTGAGCGATAATTTGCACTTGGAAACACAAAAAAACAAGATCAAGCTTGTTTGGACAGTGAGTGCAAAACGGTGCCTCTTGTTCACAGAGTGAACGAAACAGTAAGCATTTATTATTAGTCTCTCTGTCGCTGTTAACTCGAAAGGCAGATAGTTGTGTGATGAATCGAATCGAAAAACGTCGGTGGAATATCTTCAACGCATTTGTTGCGAAACTCTGTCGGTACTAATCACTGCATTTCAGTAACATTAGACAAAAAAACAAGCTGAAAACGAGATTATTCGTCTCGTTTCGATGCGATCTGTGCAAAGACTTTGCTAAAAGAAAGTCGCACGATCGTTACGAAGTTTTGGTGGTTTGGTGATGATCGAGCATTACAGCAGTGCTAATCACTGAATCACACCGGTAAAGCTACTTGTAAAGTCGCATGATGAACGCGAGGAGCGCAGCGCGCTCAAGAACACTTATAGAGTGGTCTAGGATATGAGTCGCACTGCTTAAAACCTGGCCAAGTATAGCTAAGGATTTGACAAGGCGAGAACGTGAAGTACCAACAATTCTGGCATGCTTATTGCTGAAATTGTTTTGAATGGACGGTTACAAAGCGTAGTGCTTCATCTTATCTCAAGTCCATAATGCATTTGTTTCATAAAAAAAATTATCTTTGATTCAAACTACCTAGAGTTCGCTTGGTGGCAATGAGGTAGACGGCTAATGTAGAAAAATTGACAAGCTACTGACAAAGCTGGACACTTATGCTTTGATGATTCCTTGACCTCCTCACTTAAAGGCAGTAGACAGGCAAAATGGACCCCTGTCAGATTTTGGTAGTTTAAGGTAGTGGACCCCCCAATTAAACCGTAGCCCCAACCCCAACTTCCAGTTGATGAGCTAAGTCCTGAAAAAGCGCTTCAAACTTCCACCAATAACGCCCACTCAATGGAAGTGGGCGGGGCTGGTGGAGTTTTGAAGCGCTTTTTTCAGGACTTAGCGCATGAATTGGAATGTGGGGTTGGGGCTACGGTGTACTTGGGGGGTCCACTACCCGAAACTACCAAAATCTGACAGGGGTCCATTTTGCCTGTCCGCTGCCTTTAATTGTTTAGTCATCTCGCCCTGATAAGATCGTGTAGAGATTTCGAAACTCTTTAAACTGTTCGCATTACATTGCGCCCGAGAGATTTAGTCAGCTTGAACGTCAAAAGGCTAAGGTCAAAAACAAAAAACACGTTCAAAACGTTCACCAGTCTCTATCTTGGCAGAAGAGCAATGATTCAGAGAACGAATAAGCTTAGTCAGACTTGTGGAGTACTCGTCTCCCACTACCTCATTTAGAGGTTTGTTGGATGGTTACACTAGCAAAGCAGAATCCAATACCTATTGCCGTAATTTATTTGTTCCTTTCGCAATTAATAATAGGTGGGAAAGCCCAGACTAACAAGTTTTATGCTATGAAAAGGCCAGAGATGTCGTCCGCTATGTTCCTCAAATAGAACAACCAAGATGGCCATCCTCCCATACCCTTGTCAATACAAAGTTTGTGAACTTTGCAGTCAAAAACAAAAATACACTGTAATGTAATCAAGTCTTTATTATCGACGCTGTTTCTCACAGAAGTCTTTCATTACCCAGTGTCTGGTAAGAGATCACGAAAAGCTGTCTTGAATTGGAGCCAGGAGTGCAAATAATAAAAAGCCACCCGTACATTGTACTGCAAAAGTCCTTCTTAGCTATCTTGAGAATTCTATATTGCAAAAACTGGATAACACGAACATACGACACATATAGGACAAGAAATAAGCCTTGTAACTGAACAATGGAAACAAAAATGGACATAATTGGAATAGAAAAAAGTAGTGAAAGTAAAATTGCACGGCAAAGAAATGGATAGTGCACTTAGTGTTGTATGTACCGCTAGGCATTATTAACCGTTAAATCACTACTTAATGTAAACCACACAATCAAGGGGGAAAGTCAAGCATTATGCGCAAATATTCCGTCCAAGATTAGTATAAAGCGTTCCATACACCAAAAATAACAGATCCACGCTCACCATCTCCTTAGCAAGATTTGCGATAAACTGCTCATCGCCGGCCACAGCGCCCGCTCCAGCGGCTTCCGAGCAGACTTTAGTGAGATGGAGAAGAGGTTGAAATGCTGAAAGTAAGCCTTAATGTAACTACGAACAGGTGCACTACACAGAAAAATGTTTAATAGGAAAAGATTATCATTAACATTCACCCATAACGTAGATATCTGTAGACGTTTCCATAAGACTAATAGCATGCTGGGAATCTTGAAAACTCAATTTGGCATCATATGGCTTTGAATCGGAGAGAAAGTTCCATAAACTTTCCGCCACACTTTCACCAAAAACGCTTTAGAAGCGGAAGAATAAAGCCTGATGTCAGGACGAGCTATTCAGTATATTTCTCTGCTAGTGATCAATTTCTAGAACTTTTCTACACCAGATCGAAAGAGCACACATCCTGTCGAGATTGTTCCCTGGTGAATAAACAGCCCTTCCGCCCACACGTGCAAGTTGTACTCAACATTGGTTTTCATATGCGAAAATCGGATTACGATAGAATTATGTGAGGATCGGGTTATCAAGATACTCTTTGAAAATCTGGTCGCTAAATGATTAAGGTGACTCACATAGATGTCGGGAAAGTAATTAAACAAGGCCTATGAGATTCGCTATGAACACTGCTGATTAACTTTATAGGTAAACACACTCCGAGGATATACTTCTTCTTCTTCTTTATCTTCGCCATTGTCCCGCGGATGCAGGGTCGGCGGTGGTGCATTTTTGCTTTCATTTGACTCGATCAGCTGCTTCTTGTGGTTTTAGCTTTGCAATGTGCAAGTCGTTTCGAATGGTGTCCAACCAGCGTTGCTTCGGACGGCCACGTGGTCTCTTCCCCTGTGGATCTAGACGAAGTGCTGTTTTTGCTACTGTATTATCTTTACTTCGTAAAACGTGACCACTCTTATCCGCGATAGGTGCAACTCCGAAAATGTGTCGTACATCAACGTTCGTGACGCAGTTTCTTCTCGTTAAGCCAAATATCCATCTTAACATTCGCGTCTCCATCGTGCTCAGGATCTGCTCGTGTTTCCTGGTTGCTGGCCAACATTCGGCTCCATACAGTGCGACTGGCCTCACCACAGTCCGATACACTTTCGACTTGAGATACAACGGAATTCGTCGGTCGCAGAGTACTCCTGTTACTTGCCGCCATTTTAGCCACGGCGCGTTCGTCCTAGCACGAGCATCAGTGATCGTGTCGCAATCCGACGTTACTCGGGAGCCCAGGTATTTGAATATCGTGAACTTCTTCAGCGGCTGCCCATCGATGCTAATTGTGCCATCGGTTTGCTTTCCGCATTCCAGGTACTCGGTCTTTGCTGCGTTCAGTCGTAGGCCATATTCCGCTAATCGTGTCTTCCATCTCACAGTCGCCTCTTCAAGCTCTTGTCTCCATCCGCTTGCTAGCTTGACGTCGTCTGCGTAAAGGAGCGTCCACGGATGCGGCAGCTGAATGTCCTTGGTCACCGTGTCCATGCACAGTATAAAGAGAAGCGGTGATAGAGCCGATCCTTGGTGTACTCCGACTTGGATTGGGAATGGCGTTGACGTTCCCACTGCACAGCGTATGGCGCCCGTCGTGTTCGTATAGAGGAGTTTGATCCAGCGAACGTACTCTTCTGGGACGTCCTGTTGTCTCAGCGCATACCAGATCAGCCCGTGTGGTATCCGATCAAATGCCTTTTCTAAATCCAGGAATGCGAAATGAATAGGAATCCGTTTCTCCAAATGCCTTTCCATTAGCAATCGTACTGCGTGGATGGCGTTGATGGTGCCCGATCCTTTTACAAAGCCGCACTGATTCGGGGTGATCTCCACTATGCTTCGAATGCGTCGTCGATGACTCGTTCGAAGATCTTCATCGTGTGGCATAGCAAGCGTATTGGTCGATTTGTTGAACAGTCGCTGACGTCGCCCTTTTCCTTCCAGATAGGGACTGTGACACTTGTAGTCCAGATCTGCGGCAATTGTCCGTCAACGATAATGCGGTTAAAGAGCGATGTGAGATATGCCGCTCCACGCTGCCCCATCATCTTCCATACTTCAGCAGGTATGTCGTCGGGTCCCGGGGCTTTTTCGCTAGACATCTTCTTCAGTGTCTGCACAACTTCTGCCTCCTCGATCCGAGATACCGGTCCAAATGTGGGGGCTCCTTGCGGTACTGACGTGTGCGGGAACTCCTCATTAAATAGCCCTTTGTAGTATTCACTCCACCGCTTGAGTATTGCCTTCGGCTTTGTCAGGAGGTTGCCTTCTGCGTCCTTAATGTGCATGACGTGGTCGATGTCCTGCTTCGCTCGGTGTCGTGCAGCGGCCAGTCGGTAGACCTTGTTAGCTCCCGCAGGTCCTTCCAGCTCGTCGTAAAGTTTCTTGTAGTGTGCTTCCTTTGCTTCGGCTACCGCGTGCTTCGCCTTCGAGTTCTGTTCTCGATATCGACGGAGGTCCTCATTTGAGTGCGAGCGTTGCCAGGCTTTGAAAGCTTCTTTCTTCTCCTTGATCACTTGCTGGACTGACTCAGACCACCACCAGATCTGCTTGTCTACAAACCGGCGTCCTGGTTTGGTGGTTCCTAGGATTCTCGTCTCGGCCCTCGATCGTATCTGCGAAGTAATCCGATTCCACTGCTCTTCAGTCGATTCCTTATCATCCGTCGACACCCTCAAGTCGTTAAAAGCATCTCTGACTTGCTGGCGATGTTCGGGAAGCTTCCACCATTTGACCCTCTTTGTGGTCGTCCTTCTGGCTCGTGAATGTAAGTGGATGTTCAGTCGAAGATCCAATACGAGCAACCGGTGTTGTGGTGCAAATGCATGTGTCGCCGTGGGTATAACCTTCGCGTTCATCACCATCGGCAAATGGCATCGGCGCAGCATCCAGTAGTCGATCTGAGTTGAGCGGTCTCCACTCGCGTACGTGATCAAATGTGACTCCCGCTTCTTGCAAAATGTATTCGCTATCGCCAAGTCGTGTGCTTCTGCTGCTTCCAGGATGCGTTCTCCATCTTCATTCCTCTGACCGTATCCGTTTCCACCATGGTATCGCTTGAATCCATAGTGTTCGTGGCCAACGTGCCCGTTGAGATCGCCTCCTACGAAGATGTAGTCTGCACTGTCAAATGTCCTTAGCAGCATGTCGAAGTCCCTCCAAAACACGTCCTTCTCGGCTTCGGTACGTACGGATTGCGGGGCATAACACGAGACTATTCGAAGCGTGGCATTATCTGCTTCGATCTTCATTGCCATCAATCTATTTGAAATGCGCGTCACTTCGGTCACTAATTCGCGGTATCTATCGCTGACGATGATCGCGACTCCGTTCTGGCGGCTGCTATCTCCCGTGTAGTATAAGCGATATCCGTCGCCGATGTCCTTAGCCTGCCTCCCTTTCCATTTCGTTTCCTGTACACATGCGATGTCGATGTGTCGCTCCTTCAGCCTATCGCATAGCTCCCGACTGCGGCTCGTCAGCGTTCCTATATTAATCGTCGCTAGTCGGATTTCCTGGACTCGCTTCTTTGGCCTGCCTCGTCCGGGGGCAGGTAGCTCACTATTCGCGCCATGCGGGCAATGACGCGCGTCGCCTCCGGGGGACGCCATAGCAGCTTGACGAAAATCCTTAATAGTCCGATGCATGTGACACGACTGATTCGTACAGTCCCCGGCGCGTCGCTCCGCCTGACGGGACAGTGCCCTGGTCGTTTTCCGGGGTTGATCCCGTTGCCAGCCGGCACCGCGGGGAGGTGACGATGGGACTTTGCCGGCCACTACGAGGATATACTATAGTAGGAATTATTCGGTCATTAGAGTTTTGGATGGACGGTACTTACATAGTTCATGCCTAAACATTGTTGTAGAATGCGTTCTTGCAAGGCGTGACAGAACTTGGGACGCATGGCATTCTTCCATATAATGGCATGTGCGCTTGAACCGCTGTGCTCTAAAACAAAAAAAAATGAGCTGGGGGACAGAAATATACATAGCATGTCAAGGCTAGGATTCGATTATTCCGAATGTTCGCATCTATACGCGAAGCTATCTCAGATAGTTGGAGCGTGCGGCGCACGCGCGTTTATGGTCAATGCGGCAAAGCGCGTGCCTTATTTGTTGGTGTATCCGGCACTACGCCAAACGCGTGCCATCCTAGACATTTGATGCGTGCGACGCGCGTATTAATGGCCAACACCGCGACCCGCGCGCTACGTTTATGTCCGATCTCGCCGCCCGCGCGCCTAATTTTGTAGCACGCCGCGCGCGCGCCTTTATACTCTACCCGTGCGGCCTGCGCGCCTGCAATTATCACATGCTGTAAGCACAAGGGATACCCGCGCAGTATACGACGCAGTGGACAAGCTGCCTCATCATTCCAGAGGTTAGATATTACATCGTAGTGTATGAATAGTCGTAGATATGGAAGTTGTTTTTTTGCTTCCAAGCGTTAGCCTTCGGTAGCATTGCAAATGGATGCTAGATCTGAATTTTTGGATTCAAATACGAATTCATATTTTTTGGCATATGAAGAGTGGAATTCATTATCAAAACTGTGGTATACAACGCATAGAAAAACTGAAAAAAAGCAGCCATCCGCGGGCCAGCACCAGCGGCGCGGCATCCAATGTTCCGCCACCCGCGCACTGGGTGTTGCGCCGCTGTGTGATTGCGCGCGCGCTACCAGCTCCAACTGTCTGAGCAATGTGTTAAGACAGCAAACCGGGGGGGGGGTCATAACCAGCGATCGTGTGCCACTTGCTTGCTTGACCCACAGAATTATAGATCTCAAAAAACACCGGGGTTACCGTAACCCGGAAATTAGGCGTCAAAAGATATTCAAGGTCCGTAGCTGCTGTTGGGAAAACTTCTACACTGTTCTTTTCTTGTTGTTTTGTGAGCTCATAGTTGTGAAAATTCCCATGTAATACCTGCGAGGATCTACATATGTAAGCCAGACGCTCTCCACAGCATTTCCAGTTTAGAGGCAAGAGGAATCTTACCATTGATATTCTCATGTAACAAGAATGGGAATTTTCACAGCAATGAGCTCACAAAACAACAAGGAAAGAACAGTGTAGAAGTTTTCCCAACAGCCGTCAGGTCGCCCAACAATCATCAGGTCGCACGGCAAATAAACAGCCTTTAGAATTACAATGCTTTTCTAGTGGCAGCAAAGGTAGGGACGCAACGCCGGAAATTAGGCGTCAAATGAAGTCGAATTTGAATTTCGGTGCAGCTCCGGACCTTGAATATCTTTTGACGCCTAATTTCCGGGTTACGGTAACCCCGGTGTTTGTTGAGATCTATAATTCTGTGGGTCAAGCAAGCAAGTGGCACACGATCGCTGGTTACGACCCCCCCCCCCCACCCGGCCTGCTGTCTTAACGCATTGACGACAATACGACCCACCGGTGGGTTGTAAGATTCATGAAGCGCTATCTTTGCATGACTGAATTCTACGGGGTTCTGGCACATGATTGGGGACACTTAGGTGAGCTCCAGCCAGAGTGGTCCGGGCTCGAGATACTGTAAAGTAATGTTATGGTTGGTATACGGTAGATATACAGGGTGTCCCAAAAAAATGTGAACACTGTTTGATCGTTAATAACTCCCTTGCTTTCATGTCTTTCGCCGACTTGAGGCACCATTCTGTAGAGCGAGGTTCAGCTTAGATATGTAACATGAAGCAAAACTCCGTTCTCAATTCGTTACTGTAGGATTACGGTAGGAAATTCGACAAGGGTTTTAGGCCGTTGAAGGCCATTCTCTGCCTCGAAACAGAATTAAACAAGCCAAAATCTTTTGTACTATGGTAATGGAAGCCGCTGACTTCGAATATGAAATTTCCACTTTACTACAATGCTTCTTTTCAAAGTTATCCTAGGTAAACTGTAATAACTGACTTTCCAGCATGTGTCAAAATTGTGACTACACCATCAAAAAGGCTAAGAACACCCGTAAAAAGTTGTGTAGTGGAATCAGCGTGCGCGAAAACCTTAATACACGATTTTTCAGATTTTTTGAAAAAATTTGGTCAGATGGCATGTTTTACGATGGTCCCATATGCTGGAATTTCTTACCGTAATCCTACAGTAAAGAAAAGCAAACGGTGGTTCACTCCATACTATAAATCTAAGTTGAACCTCGCTCTACAGAATAGTGCCTCAAGCACGGCGAAAGACATGAAAGCAAGGGATTTATTAACTATCAAACAGTGTTCACATTTTTTTGGGACACCCTGTATATAAGGCACAAGCTTTAGCTCAAATTCTTCGCAAAATGATGCTGTTTCTGGAGAATCAAATTTACATGTAAGAGTAACACGGGGCGGGCAACAGGTTGACGTTAACCCATCAAAAAATTGTCGATTTTATTGATTTTATTGATTTTTGCATTTTTCATCGTGGGAAGCTCGAACTTTGCATATATAGGTATTGTAGCATGCTGATTACGAAAATGATAGTCTCAAGTTTTGATACCACCTTCTAAAATCAGTTTCTTGATTTCTACGAAAATTCTACCGTACTGCTACCGTAGTCTCACCGTGAAAATGTAGTGAACAAATGGACACTATAATCGTGACCAACAAGTGAAATGACCCCAATACACAGGTTTTCATGAAAATCCATGATGTTGGGTTCGTACAGAATGATTACCGTAACCTTACCGTATAACGCCAAAAACTGAAATAAATCATATTTTGGTAATCGTATTTTGATAACCCTTGTGAAATTGTCGGAGACATGTTCTGAACTTCTTCCGAAAAGACTACCATTTCGGAAACCCAATAACCCACGGGTGGGTCGTAAGTTTGGCAGAGCAAAAAAGGCTCCTGTCCGAAATGGCAGCGATCGAAAAATTGGCCTTGTCGTCAATGTGTTGATAAGACTCCCCCCCTCCCCGAATTATATACTTAAGATAGCATTACCTGAAGGTCCTGTCAAACATAATGGGCAACATATCCGTAATGAGCATGTCAAGTAACCCCTGCAGACAAAGTTTGAGCGAATTCTGAAGATTCACGATACTAGGCTACCTAAGTGAAATGGTCATTTTCCATCATGATTAACTTTGTTTCAAAGGTGAACAAGCTATCCGTTTTTGCACTCAAGACAAAGCACTACTCATTCTTTGTCCATCTCAGAAATCCCGTTTCTCCAAACTGTGGAATTGGAAGCCAACCAAAATCTCATTTTTCCCATTTTTCGTTTTTAATAGCTGTGCTTTCACCAAGTATTATTCAGAGCTAAGAGGACGAATCAGGCTTAAAACATTTCTATGGAATCTACGAGGTTTAGGCCATCGATTTTAAATACGGTTCGCTAAAAATGTTTTTATGACATACTCAGGGACTCGCGCCGTGCAGGCGGCCAGCGACTACCTTACAAACGCGTTGATGTGTGCGATGTGCGGTCGTCAAGGGCCGATAATATGGACAGGGTTGAGCGTGGGGTCAGGCGCGCCCAACCTGGGGGTCGTATTGAGAGTAAGACTGAAGGGGGGGGGGGGGTCGTGATTAAGAATCGAATTTCTTTGGTTTGGGAGATACTACGAAGGTGAAGAAGAGATGCGCTAGTCAGGTGCATCTCGCAATCGCCAGTACTGAAGGAATGACGATCGCAAACAGCAAACTGTTTGTCCACAATGTTTTAGCCAAAATTCAAGTCTCCATCTTTTACCTTGACTTTCAGCCAAAATTCAAGTCTCCATCTTTTACCTTGACATATCATGAGGTCGCCAGAAAATTGCCGTGTGAAATGGATATCATTCCCGTAATCAGCATGTCAATTGCCTTTATGAGCTCTATAAACCATTGCCTCTGCAGTTTCTAGTATTTCTCAACGTCCAAAAAAGTGGTTTTCAAACATGATTAACTTGGTTTCAGAAACGAAAAATGTAAGCTTACCTATACTCATAACAAAGTAATGTTCACTACAAGTCTATGCTACAAATCAGGCTTCATTTCGCTTTCAAAGAGTGAAGTAAGAAGTGCTGCCAAAAATCCAACCGGCACGTTTTTCACATTGAGTGTTTCAACTCCTCGGATTAGCACAAGGCCGAAACAAGTCGAATCAAGCTTACCATCGAATCTTCGTGGGTTGAGCTAGCGAATCACATAAAACTTGGGTAGAAAATCTTTTTCGGAAATAAAGTTAATGGGGTCAGGCGCAACCCCTCAAAAGGTTAGGCCGCCTGAGCTTTTGAGGGGTTGCGCCTGACCCTATTAACTTTTCAGTGCTCAAAAATCGCCCCTTTTTGAAATGAGTATTAAGCGCAAATCCTCTCCTTGTTATATTGAAAATTTGGAGCCAAACGCTCCACCCGGAAAATTACAGCTCCGAAAAGAGGGCTATGCAGATCCAAAACCTGCCGTCAACTTGCGTGTGGTTGTGCAATCGCAGAAAGTCGGACCTACAGACTGAAAAAAAAGAAACCTGCAGTAAAGGCTGGTCTTCTTTAAAGTATAGTACCCTGAGCACCAGAAGGTGAAGCGGAGGGGTCGTTTAGGGGCTTTTCATAAGGGGAGGGGGTCGTTTTTGAAGGGCTCGTGCCTGACCTCTTGCTCAACCCTGAATATGCTCTGACATTCGGTGCGTGCGGCGCGCGCTTGCTAACGGCCAGCAGTGCGGCCCGCGCGCCTTAAATTCTTAGCGTACGGCCTGCGCGCATTACATTCTCACCGTGCCACCCGCGTCCCTCCAATTCTCAGACGCTATAAGCGTAATGGGAACCCGCGTGAGGTCCGACGCTGTGATTAAGCTGCTCCATCACTAGTGGAGATTGCTTATCGTTTCCTGGCACTTGAGTAATCGCAAGAACATGAGAGGTTTTCTGCTTCTGCGAAGATCCCTCGACAGCGTCCCGAATGGGTGCTGAATCTGAATTTTTGAATTCTATAAATTCAAATTCAAATTTTC